GACCTCCTCTCAAAATTCATAATAGTTGTTCCACTCAGTGATCAAACGGCAGAAACAATTGCAGATGCCCTAATTAAAAGATTTATATGTATTTTCAGTTCACCAAAAGTATCCGACCCTCACCGACAGAGGAGCAAACTTTACAAGTAAAATTTTAAAAGCCATTGCTCGTAGATTTAAATTTGCAAAAATAGAAACCACCGCATTTTCACCACAATCAAACGGCTCCCTAGAAAGAGCACATCACCCCCTTTGTGAATATTTAAAAAATTTTTCTAGTAAAAAAATTGAATGGGATAATTTATTAGAATTAGCCCAATTTCATTACAATACAAGCATTCACAACGCACATAGATTTACTCCGCATGAACTGGTCTTCGCTTATCCACCACGATTACCATCTAGTGAACCATTAAAAACTTCAGAACAATTGCCAACATTTAATAATTATCTATCCACACTTATATAAAACATGCAGGATATTGCATGCTTAGCGCGGGAAAACCTCATAATAGCTAAAGAAAGATCAAAAAAATATTATGATCGCCACATAAACCCTTGCAATTTCAAAATAGGAGATCAAGTGTGGCTCATTAAAGAACCTAAACCGGGAAAATTAGAAAAGAATCAAAACCTGGGTCCTTTTGAAATATTAAATATCACAGACAAACATAATGTAACAATAAATAAGGGTGGAAAACCGAATACAGTTCATGCAAATAAATTAATATTACACAAAAGTATATAAAATGATAAACCTTTCTCTGTTTTAGGACAAACAAATCATGTATTCAAAAATAACGTTATTCATTACATTTTTTCAAATTACTTATGCATACATTGGATATCACTGCGGCACCACAAACACAAACATCACAACATTCTCTCTACTGGATGCTGACGAATGCGACTTTAAAACCGAAACAATAAACTCAACAATAGCAAATATAGAACTTATCCAAGCAGCCGAATTTAGAAATATTCCAGTACATCAATGCAAAATTGAAATCCATCGGACAGTATACCAATGCAGACTATTCGGACGCCTCGAACCTGAACAAAATGGAGAACAGGAATACTTGTATGAATTGAGCCATGAACAATGCCAAACTATCCACGAAACGAGAATTTTTAAGTATGACAATTTTCATACGATTGCTGATTTAAAAATAAACGCCACAACAACCAAAGGCATAGACTTCGCTGGCGATGCAGGAAGCTGCAGCGGCGTAGCCTACGCAGATAGGTTCGGATCATGGAGTAAGGTACTTGTTCAAGGCACAATTAAAATCACATTAATACAAGCCTATGCGAAAATTAGTCTGAATAATGATAAATTACATTTAAGCTCAGGAACGATATGTACATTTTCAGACACAACTTGCGTAGACTCTGACGGGGGTTATACATTTTGGGACATTTTACCTCAGGAAGAATGTTTTACTAACACTTACGATATTTTATATAAAGGTCCAGTAACAAAATACTTTAACACACACAATGACGACATAATATACATGGTAAACACTAGCGACACGACCTTTGCTTTAACAGCTAAAGACAAAATATTGAAATGCTACAGAGAGTTCACTAGAACAGAACACCCAAAACTCTTTATCGCGGAAGAAAATAATAACTTCAACAGATACAAATTCGATAAAGATACGGTTACTAGCAAAAGCAAGGTTAACATCGATTTATTCACATACGTAAATTCTAAATTTGTATATGTCGAAAAACATTTGGGCAGACAACTGAACGATCTTTACAGAAAAATCATTACAGATAGGTGTGAAGTAGAGAGGAAAACATTACAAAACTCCCTATCCCTTGCAACCCTCTCCCCTGACGAATTCGCATACAATATCATGAAAAGACCTGGATACATTGCCAGGATCGCAGGAGAAGCAGTTCATATCATAAAATGCATCCCTACTGTAGTGAAGGCACAGCACCTTAGCGAATGCTACAGCGAATTACCAGTAATTTCAGGCAATGAAACCTGGTTTCTTACTCCAAAAACGCATATCCTCAAAAGAAGAGGTACTCCAATGAACTGCAACTCCATCATACCTACATACTACAAAGTAAATAACAAATGGATAAAACTAACACCGAAACCAACGGAAACAATATCACCACAAACACTCAAACCAAACACAAACATAAATTGGAAATTTGAATCCATAGAGTCATTAGCAACTAGCGGCATATACTCACAACAAGAATTAGATCAACTACAACAACAAATAATGTTCCCCATGGAAAAAGCATCTCTGCTAAATATTATAGCTAAAGAGATATCAGGAGAAGGAACAACAGGGAATATTTTTACAGAAAATACACTTGCAAAATTGGCAGAAAGCACATGGAATCACATGTTCAACAAGCTAGTCATGTGCGGATCAATCTCATCAGTAATCATCATGATATTAATAATACTGCAAATAACAAAATTGACAATTGACACCATCATCAGAGGATATACGCTGCACATGGTTTATGGCTGGTCTATGAACCTACTATGGGCCTTCTTTAGCTCAATAACCCACCTGTTAGTGACACTAGGACGACAAAACCACAACATTATGACAAAAATTAATAAACAAAATGCAGAAATTGAACTAGACACAATACACACAAACCTGAACGACACAGATGTCAAGATACAAATCTACCCTGATACCCACTGTCCTATTCCTCAACAAAACTTACCTCTCGAAACAACAATAATCAAATACAAACATGACCTATTTTCAACAAAAATCTAATTGTCATGTCGTTCAGTACCCCAAATGCTTTACGTCATGGCCACATTTTAAGCGGGTAGGGAAGCGAGATATTCGCTCTAGGATATTAGGCTGAGATGACAAAGGAATTGAAATAAAAAAAACAAAGATTTGTTCTTTTTATCTAAAAACAGAAAAAAATATATATTTATTTTTACAAAATTACAAGCATATTCGCAAATATAATCACACTCAGATACAATTGCAATCATACCGGTGGTCCACACTTGGACCTACAATCACATTATAAAAATCACTAAACACTTCTACGCATACCCTACGGAAACCATTGCAATAAACTAACAAATCATAAAAAAATAAGTCACGAAGACCCCAAGTATCTTCGTCTGGCCCATACTCCCCCAGGAAGAAGGCCGTGCGCGTCACTCGGTCGCAATGCCGTAGAGTCCGCACCAATTGCCATCTCTGAAACTAACAAAGCAAACAGGAAACAAATTAATCCATATATATAAAAATACCAATATACATTGCAAAATACTTACATCTATCCTCACATACTTCCGGGTTCCGGGTTTCGGCCCGGCAGGAAGGGGCAAGCCCTCTCATCTGGCTTTCTTCACAGCACGTGAATGCTGCCAATCCGCAAACTAAAAAAGAAAAAAAAAATATATATATAATAAAAATAACAACAACAAAAAAAAAAAAAAAAAAAAGCATGGCAATAAGAAGTACAATCAATCTTTAATACTTACACAGACCATGAAATAACGTTTCCTTGGGAACCCGAACATCGTAAACTGAAAAACTTGAACTGTACAAAGTCGAGCAACTGCACTCCTTATATACTAAATAAAATGTACATACCACAAAATCTCTGTATAAACCGCAAACTAGTAGCTTTGAATTTCAGGAGTATTTTTATGCAAAACATTGCAATCATATTGCAATGTCTTAGGCCCTGGGGTGTTACGTCTTACGACGCATCCTTTTTGTAACAACTGCACACTCGTGAAATTCAAAGCTTCTAAAACTATTCGCACGTCAGCAGAAAGCTGACGAAACGCGAGGTAAATGACACTCCGAAATAAAGTTGTTACACCTTGCGACACATCCTCTTTTGTAACAAATGCATATTCAGGAAATTCAAAACTGCTAAAATATTCACACGTCAGCAGAAAGCTGACAAAACGCAAAACAAATAGCACTCCGAAATAAAGCCACCGAGCACAAGAATGTATATTCAGCAAAAAACAAAATGTCACAATTCAATACTGACCTGAAAATTAACCTATAAAAAGCAATGAACATCATTACGAGTCAGTTGATCAGTAGTCAGTCAGTCAATAAGTACCTGTAAGACTCAACTCCGTACACACTGGTCCGACAATTGGTGATCATTTTACTTAATAAACTCACGACTGTTACAAAGTAATATCGTGCAAGTATTATTCAACAACCTATCCTATTCAATTCAACAAGCAGTTAGAGCCTGCTACATTTTATCCACAATTAAAAGCTACAATTATCAAGGTAGTACAATCATCAGACATACATTTCTACATATATTTATTATAAGTGAGACATATCCGACCACTAGTCAACATATTGGAACGTCTCATTCATTAGCTATTCGTAGTTGATGCACGAGACGTAACATCTATATGAAAAGAATCCTGCCAATCTTACTGCTTTTATTATATTTTATGTAATAATATTCCTTTTATCTGCATTTTAAATTATATCTAATTTTAATAATTTTAATTATCCTTTAATTTGCTATTTTGGTTATTTTATCTAGTAAAATAATAGATTTATTCTTCGTACATTACGATTTTCCATGCCGATTGTTAAGTTTAAGCTTCACTTATTGTTTTTGTACAATTTTGCTAATTTATAATTGTATGATTCTTATTCATTAATAAAATTATTATTAATAAATTCATACTTTTTACCTGGTGGTGAAACAAAATAACTAATTTAATCAAACAAATAGATGAATATTCAATTTTTCGATTATGTACATTAAACGATTTGCAACCGTTTTGTTTAATGCTAAGATAATAAACAAAATTCCTAAAAATGCTTATTGCCGATGATATATATTTACTCACAGGACTCGGAAAACAGTTTTCGAAATAAAAATTTATGTGAAATAATATTCTTAATATATCCTAAAGTTTTGAAAAATTGAAGCGATTAATTTTTTTTTCGCTGTAAATGCTGTCAAATGAGGTGGAGTATGTAACATACCTTCTCCTATGCCACTATTTAATAGAACACCCCATGCAAACCAAATTGCACTTGATAAATTCAAAGCATCTTCTTCTGTTCCATCCATATTGGCTAATTTAAATCTTCCAAATGGTGAAAATCGATCAAGTAAATATAAAACCAAAGCTACAACGTGCACAGAAACCATGACTAATATCCACAATGTATTGCTGAATGGTTGTAAAAATGACACTAACGTTGAAGATCGTGATGGCTAAAAGAACAAATATAATTCATGTAAATGTAAATATTTAAAATTACATAAGTTTTAAGTTGATATATATCACAAATAATATAATGTGATCTTTTACATTAGACTTTATGTCTTTAAACGTCTTGTCAATTTCAATACATACTTATGAAGCTATTACTATTTGTCTATCACTCAATAAATCTTCAGGGTGACCCATTTTAAAGGAACCACCCCGAAATTTCCTACGGTTGACATTGTACAAAAAAAATTGTTCAGACAAAAGTTGTTTGGGACAATGAGGGACACCTTTCCCAGAAATCGGATATAACCTTGAGATTTATTTTCAAAGTCATTTGAAGGTCAAAGACATTTTTTTAATAGGAATCTATAATTTTTATCCCGGTTTCGGAAAGAGCGAGAAATTCTACGTTCAGATAAGGTATTATGTGTGGGGTGCGGTTAACCCCCCCTACCGCGTAAGGTCATGTAGGGTTCAAATTTATTGTTATCTTCATCTATGTACACGGATGATCGGCAAGGGTAAGAATAATTTTAATAGTCCAAATCTCAAATACCCAATTATCCAATAAACCAACCCTAGTAACCCCAATAACCAAATAACCAAGTAATTTTTTTTAATAAGAACCCCCATTTTTTATCATGGATTCGGAAAGAGCGGAAAATGCTACGTTCAGGTAAGGTATTGTGTAGGGTGCGGTCAACTCCTCTCCTATCCCACCGAGGCAAGGGTGGGGTTGATAATAATAATAATAATAATAAGCCGTGCTGGTCCAGTGAGTGGTAATACCTCACTGGACAAATACTAGCTTCCAACGTCCATGACGTGCCCGGTGGAAACGTTGTACGTCGTGTCAATGCTCTGAGCAGCAACGCTATAACGGACACGACCAAGAGGAAGATATGGCTCACAAATAACGCAAAAAATAATGGTATTCTGCCGATGTGTCCAACCATTAATCATTTATACACATACACACACACACTACGCAAACACTCACACACACAAGCCTTCTGGAAAACCGGGGAAGTGAATGCTCGGCGACCCTATAAACGGGTCTTACCGAAAAGCGAATGGTCGGGGATTCCTATAGACGGAGCCGCCCGAAAGCGAGTGAAGGGGATCTCTCTAAACGGGCTCTCCCCGTGAACGAAGGTCGGTTTCGCCTATGGGCACTTACATACACGCACATATCACAGGGAGGAACACTGAACACACAGGGTAAACACACAGGGGAGGGGACCTCAGCGACCGCGCGTCGTTCCATCGCGGTTCCTGGAGTTGCGACCACGAGGGACTTTTAACATAACGGGACACAAAACGGGAAAAATGCACAATGAAAACACTGATGTACCTCAAGTGGTAACTCCTCAGGAGGAATCCACCCCGGGTTCCGATCGGGTGAAAGCCCCGGTGGTCACGGGCAGCGGCACGGATTTTGAGGGCCGTACTTTGTGCACGGGAATGGGAAGAACGACACGAAAAAACGATATGAATCTACTGAACTTACCGAGACGACAGAGGACGGACAGTGTGTCAAACGGCGGCAGCGGGGTGAGCTACGTCTCTGCCGCTGACAGCAAAGAACCGACGACATGACGAACACCGACAATAACAAACGATACACGCGACGTGACGGAACTGCTGCGGCTTATACAAGAGACGGCGACGAAAATGGCCAAAGCAGCAAACATACGAAAGAACATGAATATGACTGTGAAGACGGGAATTAAGATAATTTTCGAGACTGTGGACATCGCGCTGCACAAGCAATCGGACACAGTTTCGGAAAGACGTTCCCAAGACAACAACAATACAGACAGGACAGCGGCGAATAACGAAGAAACGCCACGGACGAAACGAAAATGTTCGCCGGTCGGAACCACGCCGGAGCCCTCACAAAAGAGGCCACCGACGACGGAACCGACCAAGGACTGGCAGACGGTAACACGAAAACGATAAGACAAGACAAAAATGAAGACGGACGTAAAGAATCAGTCTGACAGAGGCGGAACGGCCCACCGGAAAAGGGGTCTGGCTGTCCTGATCAGGCTGGGCACGGACACGACGTACTCTGATATAGTACGGAAAATACGGATGACGATCGACCTGAAGGAGAGCCACGTGAAGGTGACAACCCTGAGGAAGACGAAAAACGGCTTATGTCTTCTAAAGCTACAGATAGACGCAGACAAGCCGGACGGACGTGAGATGTTTGGACGACAGATTCAAAATACGATCGGGAAAGCGAGCAGTGTCAGGGCCATGACCTCCAAGGTCCAATTGAGATCTGGACAGCGTTGCGACTCCGAAAGACGTGACGGACGCGCTCAGTCTTTCGAGTCCACATTTTCGGTCCAAACCGCGCTGAACAGTATATGGCGGTCTGCGAATTAGAATCGCGGGAAGCCGATGCATTGCTTCGGCGTGGACGGATCGGAATTGGCTTGCTACATTACCGCGTTCGGAAACGACTGACGGTGACAAAATGTTACAGATGCCTGGGCTTCGGCCATGTGAAAGCTGAATGCACAGGTAAGGACAGGACGAAATGCTGCCGCAAGTGTGGCACATCCGGACACTACGCGACGGAATGCCAAAACAAGCCGGTCTGCCCACTGTGCTCCGAGATCGGGCACAGAGACGTCGCCCACCTCGCCAGAGGCGGCAGGTGCACTGTGTTGCGGGCCGCGCTGGAGAAGTGCAGGAGAACGGACAGAATAATTCAGGGAAACCTGAATCGAAGTAGGACTGCAGACATGCTTAGATAGCTGACGAATATGACGCGGACATCCTGATTCTGAGTGAACCATACAGGAGAAGGACGATCCAGACATACATTACAAACGAGACAGAGACCATTGCTATCTGGGTACGGGGTGACTCCCAATCTAGAGTCTCCAATCGCGGCGTCGGGGACGACTACTTCTGGGTCACAGTTGGCGCTGTTACTTATCTCAGCGTCTACCTGTCACCCAACTGCACCGCGATGGAGTTCGAGAGAAAGACGGCACTCCTAGAAAACGGGATCAGAGACCTGCCCGGGGATGTCATCGTTGCGGGGGATTTTAACGGGAGGGCGACCGAGTGGGGAACGAACGAAACGAATCGACACGGACGACTACTGCTGCAAATGGCCGCAAGGCTCGATCTAGCAGTGGTAAATACGGGACATACGCCGACGTATAGACGGCCAGGTGTCGGTGACTTTATCCCCGACGTCACGATGACATCGGACAGAATTCTGCCACGGCTGAGGGGATGGCGGGTGATTGAAGACTACACAGCCAGTGATCACCAGTACATCGTCTTTGAAGTGGTGGGACGGACGGGAACGAGACGAACGAGAACCCATCAACCACCGCGGTGGAAGCTACGTAAACTCGACGGACGAAAATTTTCGGAAGAGCTAATGGCAGCACCGGCTCCAGGGGAGAGAATTCCCCCCTCCCCTCCCCCCGAACTAACGGGCCGGCGAAGAGCGAAAAGACTGACAGACGAGACGGCCAAATTAATAGACAACTTGTGCAGAGGCACAATGCTGAAACATCGACAGATACAACAAAGACAACCACAATATTGGTGGACGAACGAAACAGCCGAGTTACGCAGGATATGCCTGACAAATCGGCGATGAGTGACAAGGGCAGGGGCCGTACTCGAAAGGGAAAACCTCCAAGCCATATACAAAACAGCACGGAAGACGCTGACGAAAGCAATACGGGACAGCAAGACGCGATGCTGGCGGAAGCTCTGCGAGGAGGTGAACGAGGATCCCTGGGGAACCGGCTACAAGATTGTGACCGGGAAACTAGGGGCCCGAGTCTCTCCGGAACTTAAAGATGCCGAAACAGCAGGACGGATTGTTGATGGATTGTTTCCGACGCACCCGATTAGGACAAACGTGATCGATGACGTGGACGCACAAATGCCCCCCGCCTTCGCCGCTGAGAAACTCATCAGAGCAACGAATGCGATGAAGACGGGTAAGGCACCGGGACCGGACGGAGTACCATCCGAGATCCTCCGGCTTGTGGCTCCTCTACGGCTGGAGATACTCCTCGACCTGTACAACACGTGTTTGACGACAGGAACGTTTAGCGATTGGTGGAAGGTGGCAAGGCTCGTTCTTATCCCAAAAGGTAGGAGCGATCCTGGCACGCCTTCGGCTTACCGACCGTTAAGTTTACTTGACACGACTGATAAACTCTTTGAACAACTACTGAGACCGAGACTAATGGATGCAATACAGACCGGAGGAGGTATATGAGATTTGCAGTTCGGCTTCAGGAGGGGTAAATCGACGATTGGAGCGATCCAAAAGGTGGTCGACTCTTTCCTGGAACTAGACAGACACTGCCACGCAGCGCGACCTATAGTGTTGCTGGCGACGCTCGACATTAGGAATGCTTTCAATTCGACCAGGTGGAAGGATATCTTGGAGGCGCTGAAAAGTAACTTCGGGATCCAGCCATACCTGCTTCGGGTTGTGGAGGACTACCGAACAAACAGACGGATAACGTACGAGAAGATCGAGGGACAAGTAACGAGACAGGTCACCGCTGGGGTGGCACAGGGGTCGATACTGGGACCTGACTTCTGGAATGGCTTATACGATAGCTTGCTTCGGCTTGGGATGCCGCTTGGAGTGACCCTCGTCGCCTACGCTGATGACGTGGCGGCGGTGGTTACGGAGAGGTCCTCCAAGCTGGCGCAGTTGGCGTTGAACCAGACCATGAGACGAGTCGGACGCTGGATGACAGCTCACGGACTACATCTCGCAATGGAAAAAACGGAACTGATGTTTCTCACGAGAAGACGCATACAGACGATACTGCACATGAGGGTGGGGACATGCGAAATAGAGACCAAGAGGGAAGTCAAGTACCTTGGGGTAATCCTCGATACGAAGATGACCTTCTGGCCTCATATACAGAAAATAACCCGGAAAGCGGCAGAGAGGATAGCATCCTTGAGTCGCCTGATGGCAAATACGACGGGA